GATAATTGATCAAATACAAAATCCTCCTAATTTACAAACTACAAATTCAGTTTGCCACCTGATGCGTTTATCTAAAGGGTATAGTCGCTCAGTGGCATTTTGGTGACAAAACAAAACAAAAATCTGATGCAGTACTTTGAACGTTAACATGCAACTGCTTATTTAATTGTAGAATAATGTGCAACACTTTGAACATTAATATGCAATACAAATAACGTAAAGATGCACCATATAAATATTTGCACAATAATCATTGTTTGCACGTAATCCGCCATCTGTGTGTGTATTGGTTCAAGTGCGAAATGCATCTAATGTGAAAAATGAGAAATGAATCTCAATTGTAAGTTTTACGATGTTGCACTACAAGTAACTTCATGTTGTAGTAAGATTTCAATTTTGCACTATAATTGTTACATATTGCACTAAAATTTGACGACGATGCACCAAAACAGCTTCAGATTGAACTAGAGCAATGTAATACAAATTTTCAGAAGTATTTACAAAAATGCCACCTTGCTTAGTTGCATATTTCCGTGCAACATCAAGTTCTTTTTACTGCAACATAATCGAACCTAACGGCTGAGATTCATTCACATTTCTCGCCAAAAGGCTTCTTCTTATTTGAATCTCACCATGTGTGTGTGCACGATGCGGTTAAAATAAAAACAGAGTTTGACCTGAAAATAAAGTACATAACTTTCACCTTTACTTCGTTGCACTGCACTTTTAAGTTAAAATACTACACTTTTTTACAGTGACATGAATGTTCACTTATTTACGAAAATGTCATCACGTTTTTAACCCAATCTAGTGAGTGGTGCATTATTGATACTTTTAGAGTCATCAGATCTCAAACCTAATGTAGAAAAATGATTATCATTTTTCACATTAAGACTTTCTTATTTGATCCAATATCATATGTATGTATATGTATAGACACACCATGACACCACAAGTGTATGTGTTTGTGTAGAATTGAACAATCATACTCTAGCAAACTGAATATCCATTTTGGAATGACTTTTAAGAATCACTTTTTCAAAATTGCATATATATATATATATATATATATATATATATATATATATATATATATATATATATATATGATTAAAATGAAGATTGCTTACAAAAATGTGACTAATGACTAGATTAGTAATGAAATCTTAGTAACTTATGTTCAGTTTTTACACTTAAGTTACCATGACATGACATTGTATTAACTATTAATCATTTTTGTGTAAATAAGTTTTATTTTAGTAATATTTTTGAAAAACAATAAAGTACTTATCTAAATATCACCATTTTGCTACTTTTATGCAGGGCCAGCTAATAGCAAGTGAATTGGGTTCTATAGAACAGGGGCCCACAGTGCACAGGGGCCCCATATTTTTTATACAATAGTAGTACTACGTAGTTTTTATCCCTAGGCCACTACTCATAATTAATACGGAGTAGAAACTATGGGTCGATTAAATTGATTGCCGACAGAATTGGATTGCCCAATAGTTAAGAAGCAATTAAATGTGCTTAAAATTTCACACTACCAGAACAGCGCATTCCATTTGCAGTCGGAAACGGGTCTTTTGGAGTTTATTTGATTATTTCTCATCTCCAGATACATCAGTTTCTATTGATTCATCCAAACTGAAAGTGTGGAACAAGACTTACAAAATATGAAGTAATTTTGTGTAATCGCATAATACAGATAGGGTGATTTATGCGATTCCGGATTATTGAACTTGAAAAGTTTATTAATGTAGTTTATTGTGTAATTTTATGCTTTTATGCTTAAATAAATATATGGGGCCTCATTATGACGTTTAGAACGGGGCCTCACAATCCATTAGTCGGCCCTGCTTTTATGTTGAAGAAAAAGTGTGTTTGAACTCTGTCTTATAAAATTTAAAAGTTAATGATTTGCAATTAAAAACAAACCAAATTATTACTTTTAAAATCTTGCAGTAGTGCTTTACTTCTGAGATTGCATGGCTACATTTATACTCCGTATGATTAATGGGTTAAGACTGCATTAGCGCAGTACTTTGCTTCTAAAGGTAGAATGAGCACGTTAGCTCTCCTATAGTTGTAGGGTATGTTTGGATCCCTGAAAATGAAAGTGAAAGGAGAAAAAGTATTACGGATAAAGACAATAGACATAAATGTTTATTAATTAGTTTATCCTCTAAATAAAAAATGAGTAAAAAAGAGTGTAAATAAATTTATAGACTTCAAGATTATCTATTATTGCTAACCTTTATCTAATGATGGATACTTACAGGTTCATAGCCTTAAGAAACTATGTCAATCAAGAAAAGAGAGAATCCTAGAACGTCAACAGAAACTCAAGGATATTTGGTCATTGGCAATTGAGGAATCGACCAACTACAAAGCAGCAATGGAAGATATTAAATCTCTGACATCAAGGGTAACTTTGTTTTGAAATTATGATCCCTTTTCTTAGGCCCTTTTGAAACCTGGAAATGATAGAAAGGAAAATGAAGAAGTTTTGTGCCATTGAAAAAGTGAGTCCTTAGTCAATGAACCGATATTAGATATTTGTTCGCAACTCGCTTTTGTGCATTCATTTCTAAATCTATTATATAAAGACTCAGAAGTAACTACATTCAAACAATCTATAAAGTTACAAAATAGAAATTAAAATTAAGAATTGATATCCTAATTCATCATTTTCATTTACCCCAATGCCGCAAAGGCTCCCCATCTACGATGGGTAGGGGGTCAGATGTACACAGTCTTACCCCTGTACTAAAACACAGACTGTTTCCGGATGACTCATAGTGAAAATCGCGTCTAAAATTGCATGGACTGACTGCTGCTTCATAACAAAGAAGCGCAGACATTTCAGTGAGCCATTTTGCTTTATTCCATCATATTCTCAAGCCAAAAAATAATGAATCTTTGGCTCCATTGCAAATGATGGAAAATTGATATCCTAATTAAGTGAATAAAATGAATATGTTTGCCTTGATTAATTCCAGAACCAAACATAGCCATAATCTGCACAAACATATATGAACCTTAACTGCTATTATCTATATATATGTTGCAGCTCCAAACTATGTCACAAGATGTTTATGGTGGTATAAGAATTAAGGATCAAGCAGCAGCTGCATATTTGCTTCAGATAACTTCCACAGATACAGGAAATATAGCAACAGATGTAAATAATGAGGCATCTACTACTGTTCTTGCTATATGTGCTCCTAGAGAAGACCGAAAAGTGAATAGCAGCCTCTGTACTTCACCAGTTTTATTCTCAAGATCATTGTGTAAGAAGAGGTCAGAAGATGAGGAATCATCCCCGCCGGTTGAGGAAGATCCAGTACAAGAATGGGTGGAGCAGTATGAACCCGGTGTCTATATAACACTGAAAACTTTGCCCAGTGGGCGCAAGAATCTCAAGCGGGTCCGGTTCAGGTAAATTTTCAACTATAACCTCTCAATTAGCAACTTGTGATCAGACTATTAATTAATTAACTTTGGTTACATGCACTTTTGTAGTAGGAGAAAGTTCACCGAGAAAGAAGCAGAAAGATGGTGGAGTAAGAACCAGATGCTAGTGTGCGAAAGATTTAACATTGATAGATCTTCAGATCTCAACCAAGATTGATTGATATGTTAGAATTACAACACCTTGATATATCTCACTGCAAGTTTAGACTCTTCCACACACACATTCACATAATCACATCATCAGATGACTCTCTTCATTTTAGTACGTGTGTATATTAATCCTCCCTCCCTTTGTATCTTTCCTTTTGTAGTTGTTCAAAATATTTTACCACTTTCCCTTTTAATCAATGAATTTGGGGTTCCTATTTTTTTTTCTGATCTGCACAAACCTGAACAACACAGTTTTTACTTTGTATTAAAAAGAATCATATTTTTCTTCTAAGAGACGGATTGTACCCATGGATGGATCTGGGGGGCTCCCCTTGAAATTTCATTTTTTATTGTATATGTAATATTTTCATAATTTTTATATTTTAAATAGATATATTTGTGTTCTCCTCAGTCCTCACTTGACTTTTGGTTTCCAAAATTAATTATAGTGTTACACTATATAATACTTAATAGGAGGCGTAAAAGCAGAAAAATCTAAAGTAGCTTACATTGATGATCTATTTCAGTTAAGTTTAGTTTTTTTCTGATCATCAATATTGTTATTAGTTTCTTGCCTTTGACAAATAAATAATAGAAAATTCATTGATCTAAGACTTATGATACTTATTCTAGAAAAAAATCTCATTTTTATAATGTTTGAGTTATCTTTAATATATAAAAGTACCCGACTTTGAAAAATATCAAGTAATACTATAATACTATAAACACTAGTTAAACAATCATCAGATAATGTGAAGTGAATTTGAGATATAAATGTCTGTGTCACAATAAAATTATACAAATTCACCGCATAAATAATAAATTTAAAATATCTTAGCATTAATAAAAATATATAAGGCACAAAGTATATGAATTTACAGAAAGATATTAATCTTAAAATCAATAATTTTTAGATACTATTATAATATTAAAAGACCCCTTATGACTTGTAAACATCCATGATGAACAAATAAGTGTAACTCAAAAATGCAATAGTCATTTAAAAAATATAGGTGTATATGTACTTTTTAGACTTTTCATCTTCAAATAAATTGATAAAGTTTCAACCATTTTCTGATAATCAAAATTTTCTTTTGATTTGGCATTACTTAGGCTTTAATTTACCAAAAGAAAATCTAGATAACTTCAATTACAAAATTTTCTTTTGATTTGGCATTACTTAGGCTTTAATTTATCAAAAGTTTCAACCATTTTCTGATAATCAAAATTCTCTCTCTCTCTCTCTCTCTCTCTCTCTATATATATATATATATATATATATATATATATATATTGGAACAACTATTTAATACTTAAATATTCTGAAAGTGGGAAAAAAATTATTGAATCGCAAAAGCCAAATTTGAAAATGATAAAGATTTATCGTATAAAATGGAGATTAAAAGAGAATTAAGCTGATTAAGTTAATAGTGTTTGAGATCTTAAATTGGGACATAGGAATTATCAGTTAAAGAACATATGAAGCTCTTTGGCTACAACACTAATTTAGAAAATATATACACTAGCTCAACGAGTCAATGACAGTAAAACTAATTACACTCTTCATGAATGAATGAATAAAAGACAGAACAGAAAATGAAGGAAATCGTAGAGAAAATTTCAATTCATGTCGGGATTGAGGTTCCATGATAAAAAGGCGGGATCTCCAAATGACCTGCAGAAACCATACATGATGAGAATATGAAGAAAAATATATCTTTGTTATTCACATCATCACATTTGTCTTTTTACTTTCATTTCTTACACATTTGGCACACAAGTATTCATCTTGCGACATTCTCAATTTGTCACTGATTCGACGAAAAGTCAATCTTCAATTGTTCAAAAATTAAAATTAGCTAGATAAGTTATCAAGCAGATCAAAAGTGGCAAGAAACTCAAAAGTGTGCATGAAAATTGAAGTGGATGGCCAAAAGTTAAAATGAACTAATAAGGGAAATTGCTACCCAAAGATGACTCGTTTTGAAGAACAACCATAGAAGAATGGAATGAATAATTGTAGAGTATTTACCTTGGTTTGATGACATACAAAAGTATGAAGCTTATTGCCAAAAAGAAGCAAATCCCGCCAATTGTGAGGTATGCTATTCCAAGGAAATCGTTTTTCCCGCCAACCCAAGTCGCTGTTGAAATAACCAACTTCTTTTTACCCCCGAAACTGTACGTATTGTAATTGTTTTGGATTACCACAGTAATCTCCTGATTAGCTTCGAGATCGCTTTCTATTCTCCCATACAGCTTTCTGAAATTCGGCAAAGCTGCCGTTCGCATCCAAACAAGAAGGTCCTCTTGCTCACTTAACTGTCATAAAGAAAAATGAAAGTTCAAATACCAAGACTAAGAGCCATTTTGACCACTCAACTGTGGATTCCATTAAAACTTACATAGGGGCCTTTCTTTTATTTACACACTTGGGCTGGAACCCCACTCTACACAAGTGTGTGATCAAAGCTCAATTTAGATCTTCTCAAATAACTGTCTGACCGGTTTTGAGGGCCTTCAGGGATGGGGTGTCGTCCTTTTTTAGGAATTTTCTCGCTTGGTAGGCTTCTTTTTCAGTTTATCAGTTTCATTAGCCAGTTTTTTAATCAAACATTATTTTATTGACTGAGTTGAATCGGCCGAAAGTTGCACACACATACACACATATTTGGGTAAATAGTAGTTAACACTGTGTCTGAAATTACTGCAATTAGTACTCCTATCTTTATTATTAGATATTGTTTTTATTTCATTTATGTAGAAATATATTTAAATAAATTGTTTAGATAATTTAGCATACTCATTCAATTCATTTATTCTAAACACAGCTTACACAACTTCAGTCGATCACTCGATCAGTCACTTCAACCATATTTAGGGCCCATTTGGTAAAGGTTGGTTCACTGAAATGGTTGCGTAGTCTGCAGCGGTTTATGAAAGGAAATGTGTTCGGAAACATTCTTTTCAGTCAAAATAGGTAGGTAAAAAATTATCCATTTTGCTTATCTTGGTGATAAGCAAAATTAGCAGAACAAACCAATTCATGCTACCAAACGAGGCATTAGCCTTTCCCAACACTTACTAAATTTATATAAAAGTATTACTACGTATAATGGAAGAGTATGTACTAACTGGTAAGCTTTGATTCAGTTTTCCACCCCCAATAAGGCTTCCTTGCTGAAAATTCTTTGGATAAACATCAGAGCCAAACTTGTGTCTTCTGTCACTTCCCCAAGCAATATCCTTTCTATTAATAGGTACCTCTTTGTCGCTAATCTTAAACCCATAAGAGTCATTGAACAAACTCCAAGCAACAAGTCCACAGGGAACAATTGGCTTATTGTTATTCATTGATTCAGGAGCACAAGTTTTCGTGTCATACTCTGACTCTGGGCTGCGCAATTGCTTGTCACTTCTGCTTTTTACATATCTGTAAAAACATCAGGAGAAGAACAAGGAGAAGAAGAAGGGTCATTTCTTTTTTTTGTACTTTCTAGGATGTTCAATTGCAGTGTGGTTAAAAGACACCAAAATCATATATAGGATTCAGTTTGGTAGCCATATCTGGATTATTCTGCATATCTACAAAATAAGTAGAATCTGAGTTATGCCCTATTTGGCTGACTGAATGTTACCAAGCCCTTAGCTTAGCTAACCCTATCCAAAAATCCAGTTCTCTCCCTCATTCAGAACTAGAGTTCACGGGAAAAACTTCAATGACCCAGGAGCACCATGTATAGTATTTCGACTGTTGAGGTTTTGACATTGCATATTACTAATTAGTGAGCCACTTAAACAACTTAAGGACCATTAATTGTCAAAATGAGAACTCTATGGTCTGTTTGGATGGGAAAATACTAGAGAAACCACACAGGAAGGAAAACTTGGTGAAAATTTGGTAGCAAAATTAAAATGTTGGGGACAATAAAAGATTCTAATTCAACAAGTTTATATTAGATATTTGTTGATACTCATTTCACTTATTTATGTCTGTATAAGGATTAAGATATCAAAGCATATGTAAAAAAACAAATAGAAGTAATCATATTTCATTTAGATTTGAGCTTTCTAAGCTAATGTCATAAAGTCAAATCAGAAAACAAAATTCCTTGGCATTTTTCCCTTCCCATAGTATTTCCCGGGATCCTAACATACCCTTAGTGATCCAAGCACAAAATGATCTGCGCTCATTCTGTAGTGAAGTTTTTCCTGTGTTCCCCCTCCTCACATACAAAAACACACATTTTTAAGACAGAACCATACAGGAGTACCCAAATTAATTTTCAAATGTGCTGAAAAGGAATACCTCCGGTGATTCTGGTAGAAGTTATCGAGCTCGTAATAGATAAAAACCGGACTCTGCATCTTCTTGGGAACCTAGTCATGAATGTCAGCAATCATTTTGTTGATCAGAGGAAGATAGAACAAAGATTTAGCTAAAATCACTGAACATTCATTTAATGACTATGGGGAGAATAAGACTGACTATCAAGCTCCTGATGCATGTTTTATTTGTTTTATCATTTTGTATAAACTCAGCCCTCTCGTGATTTGAATCTCTTTCATCCACTTTACTTGAAGGAATGCACAAGTCATCATAACGATCCACAATTTCTACGACCTGCACACCAGTTTGTTAAAGTAGTGAGATCTAATAGTTTAAGAAGGAAAGGTAGTTCCAGTTTAATTTACTTAATAAATTCTTCACACACCCTCTTTTGTGTGGGAGGGGTTTACTTTTCCCAAACAAGGCCTAACACATGCACAATTCATTTAAATTGGGCGGCGGGGAGTTTTGGATGGAGGACTTCGCACTCTAATGATACCATGTTAAAGTTCCTCATGTAAAAGTTAAGCTTGTACATCGGTTCAAATTCATATTTCAGATAGATCATGTTGTAATCTAAAACAATAATATTCAGGCAAAGGGTTTTATAAGGAGTTTACCCTTTGTGATGCTGACAATGCTGCAAGGCCAATAGGCACAAAAACAAGGCCAATGGAAATAAAGGTTGTAATGACCTGACAATCAAGATGAAGAAATTTCAGAAAGCATGATGTTATTATATCAACAAACTTACAGAAGGCGCAAATTGGTCTCTAGGCCATAGACTGGAGTCTAGTGCCAACTGCCAAACCAGAAATTTGTAGGCAGTGAGATATGGACACAGTCTGGCTCCCATTCATGTAGGGGGGCAGAGCTGTAACCACTATACTCGGTCAAGTTCCGGGTTGGTTCGGGTTCGATTCTTGGGTCGGCTGCAGGCCAATTTCTCAGCATACTTTTTAAAAAATGATGCCATAGCTAGACCTAGTAAGTTGGTTCATCAATTGTTTGACATTGTGTAATCCAAGACATGCAATTCCAATTTTCTATATTTGGATACTTTTAGGTCGTGTAGCATCCTATGATTACATACTGTAATATAATCACGACTAACAGTGCAACTTTCAAAATATTAATGTTGGTAGTGTTCAGTGGTCATACCCATCCTGGTGTTAGAATTGGCTTGCAAGCAGGAAGCTCTTGCTGAGTAAATCTAGAATCTGAACCACATAATCAGGGACAGGACAACAGAATTGTCAATAGAAAAGAATCCATATCACATTTTCTCACATGAAGAGATAAAACAAAAGAACTTCCCTAGCGCATAACTTTTGTCAACAAACAAACAAAAAATGGGTTTTTAAAAAAGTTAACGGATAATGAAATCCGAAATTGAGAAGAAATGAGAGAAGGAATTACATTGTGGTTTCTTGGATTTCTTTGATGATGATTGAGAACCCCCATCCCCAGAGCTCATTGTTCTGAAAACAGAGCCGACGTTACGCCAAGCCCCGTAAACGCAGAGGTAAACGCAGAGGTGAAGGAAGGAGGTCGAAAGAGACGGAGGAACGATAAATGTGAGACGCGCGCAACTGTTTGAAGGGTCTGGTGGTGCAATAAAATGGAGACCGACAGTAGCAGCCACGTGTGGGCGTTTTTCCTTTTTTTTTACTATCCCATTGATTGACGGAGTACTACGTATTATACATACTAGTTTTGTGGAGTAAGGATGTTTTTACTTGGAGTGTAATTTGTCCCAGACCAGAGCAGTCCAGACCAAACCAGACCAGTTCAGACCAGACCAGACCAGACTTGGATAGTTATAAAAATACAAAGAAACCAGACCTTACTAGACCAGACCAGACCAGACCAGCAAATTACAGTCCAAGTAAAAACATTCTAACTGTGGTTAGGAAAATCGCCATTTCACTTGGTGAGAGTAGTGAAAAGGCCACTTGAAATACGGGAAGGAGGAGAGGAACTAGGGATGGCAATGGGGCGGGTTTGGCGTGGGGGTTCAATCTCTCATCCCCGCCCCATGTCTAAAAAGTCTCCTCATCGCCGCCTCATCCCCGTCACTCCCAGACCCACCCCATCCCCGCCCCACCTCGATGTCCCCCACGAGTGCCCAGGTGCCCCCATATATACTTTAATTATCTCGTTTTTGTATTTTTAATCCATTGTATAGATAAATATATATATATATATATAGAGGACTGCTCAGGTCCAGCCGGAGGGACGGGAGCAGCCGTCCGAACTTTACTGTTTGGGGCGGTTCCCAGTGGAATTTTTCGATGAAATTTTTTGAGCATGTTCCTCATCAAGTCTAGTTTGTCCATACCAAATTTCAGCTCAAAATTCGATCGGGAAGGCAGTCAAATAATTTCTTGAAACTTACTGCACTTTATATATTCGCAGAATGTGCAGTAAGCTTCAGGAATTTATTTGACTGTCTTCCCGGTCGAATTTTGAGCTGAAATTTGGTATGGACAAACTAGACTTGATGAGGAACATGCTCAAAAAATTTCATCAAAAAATTCCACCGGGAACCGCCCCAAACAGTGAAGTTCGGACGGTCCCTCCCGTCCCTCCGGAGGGACCTGATCTTTTCTATATATATATATATATATATATATAGCACTGAAAAGAGTTAAACTAGATAATATTGTGTTCGATAAAAGATGATACCGCCAATTTTTTTTTTATCATTACCGCCAATTTTTAATAATTCTTTAATTTGAATAAGTTCTATGAAAATAATAAAACTAAAAATATTAGTAAACGTATTACCATCATGTATGTCATTCCAAATTTCTCATCAATTCTACTACAATTAATTATATATATTATACATTTGTGTGTGTGTTCTATTTACTTAGTTTCTCACTTTTAAAACTCATACATCATTTATGATAAATATTTTTAGTCATTACTTATTATTCTAATATAATACTCCCTCCGTAACTTATAAAAGAGCTTCCCATTTCAAAAGTAGGTAGATTAAGAATAGTGAATGAGAATATGAATTATTGAGAGTATGGTGAGAAGATAGTGGAATAATGTGATGGATTGTAGGATAAATCCAAAAAAAAGTAGTTGTAATAGTGTATTATTTTCAGAATTATTGAGGATGTGATGAGAAGAATTAAAAATGGGAAGATCTTTTTGTTACGGACGAAAAAGGAAAGTGGGAAGACCTTTACGTTACGGAGGGAGTACTTACGTAGTATCAGTTCATTAATCATGGGTCCCTTAATCATGACTAATACACATATATACATGTATGCATGTTTTTTTTTATACATGTATGCATGTATATAAGTATGTTTATGTGTTTGTTATATAGTACATATAATTTAATTAAGTATGTTTATACATTATTAATATGTGTTTTTTTAATATATGTATGTATATATATCTATGTTTGACTATATATTTATAACGGGTACAGGACGGGGATGGGGCGGGTGTAGTAATCCCCATCCTCGCCCCATATTTTAGCGGGGTAGAAATATCTCACCCATCCCCGCCCCCGCCCCACCCCAAATCCCGCCTCATCCTTCCCCCGCGGGGCGGTTCCCCACGGGTCCCCGCCCCTATTGACATCCTTAAGAGGAACCCTCACTCGTGGGAGAGAGTGAGAAGGCGCATTAAATTAAAAAAACATCCCCTTTTTCAAGTAATACTCTCTTTATATTTTAATGTTCATTACATTAAGTTGGACACACTATTTAAGGAGTAAAGTAGAAGGGATAGTGAATAATATTGAAAAATCATACTATTTAAGTTAAAGGGAAAATTACACGTGTAATCCCTGAAATAGTAACCATATTGAAATGTCAGACCCGTATTCCCAGTTTGTAAATGTCACCCCTCAATTGTCCAAATTGCTGTAAATGTGGTCCTTTGAGGGTGAAATGTACTTCTCGCTCACATTGTACATTTCACCCTTCAAAGGACCAGATGTACAACAATTTGAACAATTGAGGTGTGACATTTACAAGCTGGTGAACACGGGTCTGACATTTCAATATGGTGACTATTTCAGGGACTAAAAGTGTGATTTTCCCTAAGTTAAATATTAGTCAGTATCACTTTAAAACAATTTTTCTATATTTTATATGTTATAAATGCATGATGTGATATAATATGTATTTTTAAAATTTAATATTTAACATTACACTCCTGTAAAATTTAATGAATCAGTGCGTTTTGAAGTTGTGCACAATATATTAAAGCAAATCAAATTTATGATTAATATACATAAACCTAGATGATGAGACGGAAGCGGGTAGTACCCTTCCAAGAAGGAAGATTGAATAGTCGATCCTTTGCGGTGTCTTTGAGGGGGAATGGAAAAACCCTCAATTTGATTTGTTCTTCGGTGACTTCATTTGGGCACATGCTTGTGCAAACAATATGGAACTCTGAGAGATGTTTGTTCAATTCGGATCCTCCCCTCTTAGACCATGGAAGGATGTAAGTAGATGGATGAACCCCTGTTTTAGCTCAAATGTAGTACCTTCATCAAGTATAAGAAAGGTAATACACAACGGTTGTTGATTGAGGTTTGGAGCCGTGAGCTCCTTTAACGTCCGTGTCTCGAGAGCCGTGTGAATAAACTCTTCAAATTTGCTAGAGCTAGAGCTAGCGGTGATGATTCCTCCGATGGTGTATGTGGAAATAAAATTTTCAACCTCTCGAAGGCTAGTTCTATTTCGGGGTTTGTTTGGTATGGGAGTAGGTTTATAAAACGGGTTTTACCATATACTCAAAAAGGCTCGGAAATAGAAAAGTAATAACTCTTTATAGTTTTATTAATTTTTTTTGCCTGAAATTAAATAAAAAGAAAAAATGATTGACTTTCCTTGGCAACGACGTCAAATTTGACGGCACTAAAGTCGTTGTGGGCCTCAAAATAAATACAATACTTGCATTAATATCGTAGTATAGCGTAGTAGGGTTCGTATCCGTAGGAAAAGGAATGTTTCTCTTTTAATTAAATAGTAACAAATGGGGTTTTTAAGATTGCTCTTGAACTTAAGAGTATTTAAACACTAAGTTAGTTGAATGTCTTATGTGGCTTAACTAATTAAAGATAGAGACTTGGTTTTGCTTATATCCACTTAATGAAATGTTCGTCAATCCTGATTATATCTTTAACTATCTTCCTCTCGAATAATCAATCGTGGAGTCTCTCCAATTTATCGAGGGTAGTTATTAATAATGACATGTGTTCATTAATAAAACTTGCTATCAAGTCAATATAGAACACGCGTCGTATATTGACCCGATAGTAGCAATAAACTTAAGATGAAATCGATTGAGATTGATAACATCAACACAAGTGGTTTATTGGTTTAATCAATATAATTAATTCCCCTTAGATTATTAACCATAAGACGCATGCATTAATTATCCAAGTTTACTACCGTGAAAATACCGAGCGATTAACAAGCATATTCTTCGATCGATTCTAGTAATAATTAATATTTGAAACAAAACTAGTTGATCCTTTAAGTAATGCTCAAATATTAATATGGATATAAAATAGGAATGTAATTAATATTCAAGGAAGTTGATTAAAGAAAATAACTCACAACTTACAAATCATAAGCTTCAACATAGAAAAACCAAGATGGAAGGGTTTATCTCCTCATTTCGAGACTAAACACACTAGAAAATATATATGACATACTTGTCTAAACTGAGCTTAGAAGTATATGAGAATCGATGATTTTACTGTGAAAAAAGGAGTGAATTTATTGGTGTTTGGAAATGGTAGGGTTCTGTACCCAATCGGATATATAGGGTAACCGATCGGGTATTTTAGGCAGTTTTCCGGAAAGTCACTTTTCATGACATACCTGGTTGGGTATTGTTGGTCCCAGTTACACAAGGAACAGTCTAGAGGGGAGGTGAATAGACTGTTCTGGTTTTTAACTTTTTCAAGTCTAAGTATTAGACTTGACAGAATAGCCAGTTCTTAAGTAGAACAAACTGGCAGCGAAGTAGTATTCTGGTAGGTGTTCTGTTCAGGTAGGCTTAAAAACTTACTAAGGCAGTTGTCTTTCTGTTAACTCTTATTCTAAGATTTGCTGAACACAAAGTCCAAGTATGTTAGAGTCAGCCGGTTAAAATCTAATGCAAAAGCAGTAAGTAAATGACACCATGGATTTTTATAGTGATTCAAGGGACAACTTGTTCCTCTAGTCCATTGTTCCACTAAGCTTGTAAAAAAACACAAATTACAACACCTTAGTTCCTAGCACTTGAGAATCACTCCTCGTCTTCTTCAAGTCTAGTTGTCACCCGGGTTGCTCTTCCTAGCTTTCTGATGACTGGCCTTGGTTCACCGAGTTTCTTGAAGTATCCCCACTTCACAACTGCAGTTACTTTAAGACTTCCTTCTTAAACAAGAAGATCCTTTTTAATAAAAGGTTTTTTTCCAACGTGCTTCAAAGAAGATATGAAGATGAAGTTCTTGAAGTGTTGAAGTACTGGAGGAACTTTCTATCTGTTGGGGTGTTGAAGAATATGGAAAATGTTATCTTCCCAACGTCAAGCTTGTTCCCGTATGGAGGATGAGAAATCTGAGTCTTGAGAGTTTTTAATAGCTTGAATTCAAATAAATGAGTAGAA